TTTTTTCCTGTTGGAGTTGGATCGAGTCCCAGCCGTCAGAAATGCCACAGATTTTGAAAACTGATCCCTTTCTCTGTTTCCCCTCAGGCTCTTTGGCCAGCTCCATCTTTGATCCTCTCAGCGCTCTGGTGGGAGCTTCTGGGGGCGTCTACGCTCTGATAGGAGGGTACTTTATGAACGCAGTGGTGGTGAGTTTACATAAAGCTCAAAGTTGGTATGAAGTGTTTACTTTGCTGTTTTCCACTGCTCAATGTTTGAGATAGTATGTAAAACATACTGAGAGCATTTGATGTTTTAAATGTATATGTTATACCTAGGGTTGGGAACCGAAACTCGGTTCCAGATGAGAACCGATAAGAAAATGCCGGGTACCGGGTACCCATACAAAATACACAATTTCGGTTCTGCTTAACGGTTCCTAAACGCGGTAGACCCTGTATTCCAGCGGGTCCGTCTGCACCGCGGTGCTGCGGTGACCCGGTGGAATACAGGGCGGACCTGGAGAATCACAGAACGGCCGGTCGTCAGCGGGCCGTTGACGGCCGGCTCGGTACGCTGACGGCCGGCACCGCCCTTCATTTTTTTAAACGGCATCATATAAATTGCGCTGACAGGCGACAGAGGTCCACAGTTGCCCAGCAGCGATGCTCCCCCGCCCTCCCGTAGACATTTCACGAGCTCAGTCACTTCATAACACCAAAGATAGGTCGCGGTAAACACTCTGAAGTGAGGCTCCACTACACTAAAAAATAAAAATAAAAGGCAAAGTGTAATGCCTGTTAATAGCTTGCCACAGGCATAGCTCAGTTAAAATAAAGCACAGCTATTGTGCAATACATTTGTATTGCATGTATATTTTTTAGTAACAATTTCAGTTAAAGCTTTTAAGAATAAATATATTTTTGTTATCTAAACGTTTGACCTCTTTATTTTACAATTTTGGAATCGAAACGGGGAATCGATAAGAACCGGAATCGATAAGCAGAACCGGAATCGAAATCGGAATCGATAAATTTCAAACGATACCCATCCCTAGTTATACCTAATGTTTACAACGAGAGGACAACACTTTTGATTTTGTCCAATTTAATGTACATAACATTTACTTTTAACAACACGTTTCCTGTAGTGGTCTAATAAATGGTCTACATGTTAACAAGATGGCACATATCACATACCTGCTCAATCAAAAATGTTTAAGTAAATGTCATATTGATGGTCTCTGACTGCCATTTAAGGATCATTGTATGTCTAATACATTCATGTTTTGAAGCATATTGTTCTGAAATTACTTTTGCATTTCTGTCTTTGTGATTCCTTCACTTTATTCCCAGGACTATATTAATTCGATGCACTTTGTAAGCTAAAATGTATATAAATATGGTGACTGATCATTTGATTTGATTTCCCAGAATTTCCGAGAGATGATTCCTCTCATTGGAATATTCCGAATCCTGGCCATTGTGATATTTGGTACGTCCATGTATTTTTAACTATTTTTTATTTATTTTATACCTGCTGCAATCACGCTTCAAAATAACATTTATACTTTCTTTTCCCCAGTTGGAACAGATTTTGGATTTGCCTTCTACAGAAGATTCGTCACCCACGAGGATGGTTTGAATGTAAGATGTTCCTTCCTCTGTACAGTAGAAGCTATCAGCAGAAACGAAACCCTTCCTAAACTCTTGCCGATAACAAAATAGCCTCAAGAGAAACCCAGTTGATCCCGCTAACCTCCCCAAGTCTGATGATGGGTTTGATTTACTTGTGGCTACAGGCAGTATCAGTAGCTCTGGCTGGGACTTGATTATTCTTCCAGATGAATACCTGTAATAGGCCACAGACAACAAAAAAACAAAACACTTTTGTTATTTTTAGTCTGTGGCCTGTTGACAAATTCAACTGAAGTATTTTCTTCCTGTTTGATAAAGCTTGCTTATCTTACCTACTGATGGCCAGGCTTAGGGCTGAACGATATATCGTGTCATGGCGATAACCGCGATATGCGCATGCACGATATTCACACCGCAGGGACGTGCGGTTTTATTCATTTTTTAAAAATGTTAACGCACTTTAGCACATAATTCAAAATAAAGATACCCTTATTACTTATCGAAACTGCACATACAATATATCCGATTAAAGCTGAGACTCCACAGATTATATAGGTATAGTATCATCACTGAGCGATCCGAACTCGGGGAAGCAAACAGACATCACAACACGTACCTTTACGGAGCTTTTACGGGAGATCGTCTCACCGTAGCTGTCAATCTGATCAAAAGACGTGTTCAATGGCATTAAAATGAGAACAAATGCGGCTGAATCGGTTGATCCATAGGTTAATAATGTATCTGTGACTTTGAAAAAATTATTTATAATCCATAATTCTATTTTTATGTAAAAATCGGAGCACAAAAGTTAGCTGCTAATGGTAGCCACCAGAGTGTATGCAGCTTCCGGTTTTGGCTACTCGTCACTCTCACTCCTTATTTGTTCATGTGTTGGTGTGTGTAGAACTTCCCCTTGATTCCATTGGCTCTAGCGGTTATAAAGACATTTCATTCATCAAAATCGAGCAAGGGGGGCCAGAGATATGGAAAATCCACCCAAATGACCCCAGAAGTTTTTTTGTTGTGCTAAATCTTTCTAAAAAGGTCAAATTTCACTTGTTTTGCATCAATCTTGATACAGGGTACTTATTATATGTTGTACTTTGGATTCCCAAAGCTTTTAGTCTACTAACCCATCATCCAAGGGTAGTTTTCACTATAAGTACAGCATATTTTTTGGACGGACACTATAATTTACAGTTTTTTACTATGCTCAATCTGAATTTTCTTTAAAATAAAAAACATCTATATTTATTCTGACTTTTCTACATCCAACTCACAGGTTTATCATTACTTTGAGAGAAACATTATTAATTTAACCGTTTTAGAAGGGAAGATATGGTCATTTGTTCTGGGAATATCATTTTCAAGCCTGAGACCTGAAAAACAGGCTCAGTGCTTAAGTAGGTGAATTAATTTAAACACGTCATGTTACAATTATTTTTGCTGCTTGCTACAAAAGGAAAACTTGCGCGGCTCTCATGTCAGGGGTACTTGAGTGAGTGACATGCAGGCTCTGCATGCACAGCAAACCACCAATCACAATCATTCTTGATCAGATCACAGCAGGCCCCGCCCCGCTAGTTTGCAGACCATCAAAACACCGGTAAAAAATGAGCGAGACACAGGAGGACAATACCTTCATCCGGTTAAATATAGTTAAAAAAAACGCAATATATATCGCAGGGGGAAAAAAATCGCAATGTCAGTTTTTTTCAATATCGTGCAGCCCTAGCCAGGCTACAGACAAAACACATCCATTATTCCCCCCACCCACCTTGTTATCCACCTTCTTGCCCCTCGACTCTTTGCTTTGGCTGTTAAACTGGTCCTGCAGGTTTTTGGGCATGACAGTGCTCGAGGGTATATGTACCATTTACATTGGGTAATTAGGCCTACAGGTTAACTCTTACCCTCTCTCCGCCCAGGTGTCCTTTGTGGCTCATTTTGGAGGAATTGCGGCCGGGATGACCATCGGCTACGTCTTCTTCAGTGCTTACAACAAGAAGCTCCTCAAAGACCCTCGTTTCTGGCTGTGTATAGTGGGTTATGTCATCTTTGTGGTCTTTGCAGTGCTTTTTAATATTTTCCTGAGCCCAGCACCATAGGACAAAAAAGATAACCCACCAATATTTTCTTTTAAAATGACCACTATCTGCAGGAATCTGATGAACTGATGTTTTTCAGAGAAAAAGTTGCTTTTCAGGGAATTAGTAAAGGTATTTGTTGTTGTTTAAATCAGATGTCTTCCTTTCTGTTGAAGGGGAATGAGGCCTCCTGCTGTTTATCAGTAGCATTGCAGCTTTTACATGTTATACTGATGGGCAAAACGTGCCTTTTTCATATTTTGTTATTATGAATGATGGTTTTTACATCTCTTTGTAATTTCTAATCAGGGAATTAGTGAACACACTGTTCCTATACAATGTAATTCTTCCTGTACTACTACTGTTTAAACTCTTAATGTTATGCTACCTTTTGATCACTCATATAGACTTTTAGTATTCATCCAATGTGCCTTAAACATGCTGAAATCCTCCACCACATTTAACATCAAATGAAGGCTTTGATGTGTGAGTGCCCTTAACTAGAACAAAGAGTTTACAAAGAACTCTCAAAATGATGCATTTCCGAAAACACGGCGTGACGGCTTTCCTTCTGAAAGCAATAGAGCAGGTTTACCATGAGGCCATGGCTTAATGCCCTGCTGCTATTGTTTCAGACACTTCCTGTTGACAGGACACGGCTGATTACATGTTGAGTTTTTAAACTTGATTTACTGGTCTTATCCTTCTCTGTCATATTTTTTGTAATGTTTTACCTTGGAAAGACAAGCATGTGGCTTTAAACATATGCAGTTTTTGGAAACACCATCTTAATACAGTAGGTGTAGCTAGAATGTAACTGTTTGATATCATACAACACGTTTCAATAGTCAAAAGTCATATTTAATATTAGTGGTTTATGTCTGGTATGAAAAGGGGATTGGATATTTAAAAAATGAAAAAAATGTACTTCATTTATCTAAATTCAAAGGTAATCTAGGACCAAAGAACCAACCAAAACCTCCTATCCATTTCAAGAGCTAAGTGTTTAATGCATTCTGAATAAAGTGATGTTTTTTTTAAGGATTGTTTTGTCAAATTGCATGAATAAGACAAGAGTCATGATTTTGTCTGATAAATATTTACAGATTTAACAGTAAACACCTTATAGTCCTCAGATTCATTTGTTAGCAGACAACACATTGCATTGTGTTTATATATCAGATTCAACCCATATAGCAGCATCTGCTTTTACAGTATGTGGAAAGTTCTATAGTTTCCTAACATAGCGCATCAATACAACTTACATATCAATACTCAATTACCATGAGCATGTTTGCCTCGACCCTGAAACACTGTTGGTATGTTGTCCAGCAAACAACACTCTGTTGTCACAGCACTGCTAAAACCTTGCAATGTGCAGTTTTTCAGCTTTTCTATCTTAAATATGTTGCTAGTGTTCATTGTGTATGTCCTTTCATAATAACTAATGATTATCTTGCTTTAAAGTACAATGCTGTAGGTTTCATCATTTGGTCTGATTATGCCTATAGACAGCAGATACAGTAGCATCAACTGACATCTTGCACTTCATAAAAAGTAAACTTTAAATATAATCAATTACCTGTAACATGGTATTTCTTTTAGACTTTAAATGCTGGACTTGTGCAATTGGGAAAGTCAGAACTGAAGCTAGTTATAAAAAATACTGCCAACTTTCTCACGGCTATACAGGATATCTCTCACCATGAACGCCTGCGGAAGGGAATTATTTATTTCCTAGGATGGCAAAGTCATGACCGGCCCTACCCCACCTCTGATTGGCTGAGGCTGAGGTCAGGCTCCGTTCATTTGCTCAACAAAGACAGATGATATAGAATCTCCCTTCTTACATCAAACATATGTCTCAGATGTTGGATTCGAGATGTCTAATAAGTAAATTAAAAGTGGAAGTGTACTAGACAATTAAGTCTACACAGAACACTTCACTAACCTTCATATTGTGGTCAATTCTAGTACCAAACTTAACATCTGCACAGTGAAGGTCAAACATCTGAGTGAAGTAACAAGCTAAAGGTCCAAAATGCTTTATAACCACCTGAAATAGTAGGCATATTTACCTATACTGTTTCATTGATATACTGTGTTAGTATTGTAGATACAACATGTATACATTTTGAAACTTTTCAAATTTGGAATCAATGAACTGTGTTTTTCGCCAGTAAGCCAGGGAATGTCCCGGGGACTATGTAGAGGCTGAAATTGATTTCTCTGATTGAAAAGAGGGGACATAACACTGGGACTTTCCCAATATGTTACCCCTAATGTGTCGGTATGAGACTGGTGGAATCAATCCAAGTTTTAGGTCAGAAGGGAAAAGTTCAGCATCAAATTAGAAAAAACATCAGAGCTGAGCTGGTGGGTTGAATCTTGTTAAGACAAATTAAGCCAGATCCTCCCACTTTTTATAAATAGTTTGTGTTAACAAGCATGTTCATCACACAGGGGCATTTAAAGGTATTTAGACTTGGACGCTGAGTGAAAAAGCCATCCAGCAGTTGGCAAGCACACTAATCCATAGATTAAAATATAGATAGATAAATGGGATAAAATAAAGTGCATGAGAACTTAATTACACCCAGATAGGAGCAGAAGGGATATGATGACCCATTGATGACTTCGCTACAGAAGAATGCATTGATCGTTCGAGCCCTGAGAGAACAAAATGGACTACTGTTTTCTCTCTGTTTCTACATAGGAAGCAAATACACTGAATGGTCTTAGTCTGGAACATAGTCTTGGCATTTCCCCCCACACCTGCTGTACACACCAACATTAGCCTTCAAACGTATGTGTAGTGAGGTATCATTTCTGCTGATTACGGCATGCACTGTTTCTGTTTGCAAAAAGAAAGTCTAAAAAAAGTGAGGTCAACATCTCTGTTACAAATGCTACCAGCCCCATCACTGGATGGATATCCTCGTGGATTCATCTTCCTATTATACACACATGCATTTCCAAACATTTATATAAATAAACATTGATTGATTGATTGATTGACTGTGAGGCCATGATCTAAATGCCTCAGTGAAGCTGTGCGTATTGATCAGCTCGTGTCAGAATGATGTTGGCAACCTTCCCTCAACAACTCGGTTGCTTCCACTTTGTTTCTGGCAACACAGAGGCAGAAGCGGGTCACCGAGGTTTAGGCTATGAACAGGGACTCATTTGGAGGGTGCTAACGATTTAAAAAAACTTTTTGGTGACCGTGTTAGGGCTGTATGACCCGAGGAGATTTAAGTCACCACCGGCAGTCTGTCCACGCCTCTGCAAGGTAAATTGGGACACCAAATGATCAGATGTTGTCGTTGGGTTATATAACGACACAGCTGAGGGGAATGGTTTTATCTTGACAAAACTGGGAAGCTGACCAGCCGAGGTGACATATCACTGGATGTACCAGCTTTCTCCTTCTGCTCTATCTTTTTGTGCAAATATGTAGCATTAACGCTTTTTATTTTTGACGTTTTTTTACAATTTAATTTTTCAAATTGAGAGGTATTGTACTTTATTGATGACTCCATTGTTTCTGAAAAATCTAAATGACTATTTTTACAATTTTTTCAGTTTTTTGGTGATTTATCAAAAAACATTCTAATCTAAAAAGGCTGCTTGGATTGTCAAAATGCATTTGCTGTCTGTCTTAAAATTCAACTTATTTCCTTGAAGTTGCACTGTACTTCTTTCTACTGTATGCTCACCTTTTTATAAACACATTTTAAACTGTTTTTCTAATTGTGTCATCCCTCTCCGTCACTTTCAACCAGTGAAATGGCAGAGTGAAGATGGGGGACTGGAACTTCCTCGGGGGGATTTTGGAGGAGGTGCATATCCATTCCACTATGGTGGGCAAGATCTGGCTCACCATCCTGTTCATCTTCCGCATGCTGGTCCTCGGCGTGGCAGCAGAGGACGTGTGGAACGACGAGCAGGCGGACTTCATATGCAACACTGAGCAGCCGGGGTGCAGGAACGTGTGCTACGACCACGCTTTCCCAATATCCCTCATCCGCTACTGGGTGCTGCAGGTCATTTTTGTGTCTTCTCCCTCGCTGGTTTACATGGGCCACGCTCTCTACAGGCTGCGGGCACTGGAGAAGGCCCGGCAGAAGAAGAAGGCTCTGCTGAGGAAGGAGCTGGAGTGGGTGGATGTGGAGTTGCCAGAAGCCAGGAAGAGGATTGAGCGGGAAATGAAGCAGCTTGATCAGGGGAAGCTGAACAAAGCTCCACTAAGAGGCTCTCTGCTGCGCACCTACGTGGCTCACGTTGTCACCCGCTCTGTGGTCGAGGTGGCCTTCATGACCGGACAGTACCTCCTCTATGGCTTCCACCTCTACGCGCTCTTCAAGTGTGAGCGGGATCCGTGTCCCAACGCTGTGGACTGCTATGTTTCCAGACCCACAGAGAAGAGTGTCTTCATGGTGTTCATGCAGTGCATCGCTGCCATCTCCCTCTTCCTTAACATCCTGGAGATCACGCATCTGGGTTACAAGAAGTTAAAAAAGGGCATCTTGGACTTCTACCCTCACTTTAGAGACGAGAAGTTTGAACTTGATGACTTCTACGCCAACAGGTGTAAAAAAGAATCCGTTGTGCAGATGTGCAGCAGTGCTCCACGGAGAGCAACCGTTGCCTCTGCACCCTGTGACTACAACCTCCTGATGGAGAGGATGCAGGGCACTATGTACCCAAACCTTATCAAACCTTCAACTTTTCTGTCTCCTCAGGGTGAGCAGAAGGATTTGGGTGAGTCCAGATGTTTAGCTCATAGCATCCCACATAGTAACGGCACTAACGACCCCCTCATTAATCCAAAGCAGGAGGCTGAGGACTTGTTGCATCTTCAGAGTAAAGAGGATGGGGGCAGCGAAAGAGGCAGCCCGGACTCTCCAAAGAGCCCCAAGAGGGCAGCAGACCCTTCCTCCTTCCCCACGCTGCCAGTGAGTGCAGCGAGGAGGCCGTGGAGGGGTCAAGGGTCCTTGAAATGCTCCACAGTGTTGGAGGGTAGAAGCTCTGACTCTGATTCATATGGGGGGGAAAGAGCCAGCAAAGGACCTCCCTCCACTCAGAAATCAGACGGCAAACATCAGAGCCGGCCCTCCAGCCCTGAGTCTCTGTCTGACTACAGCTCAGGGTCCAGGCACAACCCCAGACGCCCTTCCTCCAACTGCAAAACATCCGTGGCAAGCAATGCAAGCAGCAGACGGGAAGATCTGCAGATCTAAACTCCAAATGTTACAGGTGTATAGATGCCACCGTCATATCTACATTAACAGCACTCATAATACTACACTAGCTGCCTCATAACTGGTGAGAGTTTGCTCATATTTTGTTTTTGTTCTTAATATTAAGTATAATATTGTGGCATGCTTTAAACCCCTGTGATTTAGCTAATGGAAATGACATGTAAACTGGCTTTTGTTGACATATTACAATAGAGGACTCTGTAAAGTAGGTTTTATGTACTTTTTCAACTGTTTTGGAATAAACTATTTTCTATTGTGACAAACTGCTGGTACAAGCACATTTGGTACAAGCATACATCTTATTGGTTCAACACAAGAATAGAAAGGCCTGCGATTGGACACAAATAGCTGTCAAACTAATCATTGAAGAGAAATGCCAGTATCTCTGGCAACAGAACTTTCCATTTGGGCTGGGAACTATTCTCATTTCATTTTTATTTCTGAAAATAGTCACTTTTTAAAATGTACAGTAGCATGGTATGGTAGACTTATGGCGCAAATGTGTACATTTGTAGAAACTTTATTTCTGGGTTGTTAGGGCATTAGGGGGTGATTGAGTAAACATTCATCCGTTTGCTGAGCATATCAACACTGTTGGATTACTCTCTGGCTCGATAGTTTTGACTCTAAATGTATTTATATTAAACCTGGTAAAAACATGACCTTTTTTCTGGTCAACAAAGTCTTCATGTTATTATTAATATATGTATTAAGGTTCATGAGAAGATCTTTTCTTCATTGGTATAACATGTAAAGGAATGACTGTTATACAATATTGACATACAGCTGCATCTGACAGCAGCATCAGATCCTCTGCTTGTCAAATGAAAGTCCTGACTAGTACATCTCTCTTTGGAATGGAGTTCAATCAGTGATACGACAATGTTTGGAAGAATGTGCTTTATTTAACAATTGTTTAGTTACAGCAGATCTTTGGAAATAAAGTGTGTCTTTGTCACACATTGCCATGACAGCAGGCATGTGTGTTTATAACTATGACAGAAAATAAAATTAACAGCATATCTGTTATTTCCTTTTACAGACACTCCAAAATAATTAGATGTCTTATGTCTTAAGAACTGACTTATTCAGTCGTATAGAAGTGAGTTTTCTTAGTTAAGATAAAGACGTAACAAACAAGTAACAAACTTATATACATACATGTACAGAATAAGTTAAACTCTAAGAAACATATTAGAAAATAAGATTTACAGAACCAGGTACCTACAAATTATTGGCCTTTATGTTCAAGTGAACAAAATAAACAAATACCACATTATTTAGGTCAAAACGCTGCTGTAACCTCGGCGTCAGTTTTCAGTTGAAGCGCCGTCTTCAGGTTCATTGAGCTGCAGGAGGAGAGAGGCCATCTTTGTTACAATACATGTTGACACACACATAAGTTATACCATAGCAACCAGCAGAAGCTTACCCTTGATTTAAGCTCTTTGTTTTCCTCTACCAGACGAGCACACCTCTGCCTTAAGTGAATCACTTCCTGCTGCAGAGCCTCAGAGTCGGCTGACGACTGACCCCCAGAATTGAGATGCTGCTTCACAAATCTGAGAAGGAGTTGGTTAAGGGCTCTAAAGCGAGCAATGGCCTCCATTAATAACATCTGCACTTTACCATTGTTGTTGATGGAGGGTTGTTGGTGGACTTCAGTCAGAACTAACTTAACAAAGAGACCATTTCTTCAAACAATCAATGAATAGAAGGATACTCCAGGGCATTGTTGGGCTTTTCAGGTTGTTCATACAAAGCCACTAAAACTGGAAAAAAAGAAGAATAAATGCATACAGGAATTATGAACAATGCTGATATGGGCTTCATATAATTGCCTGTTGACCAAATCTAATAAAGAAAAACAACATAAGTTGAATACTTGGTCTTTCTTACTTGGGTTCTTTGCCAAGGCAAATGACTTAGTAAATAACATTGGCAATCAACCTTACTATAAAAAGTCTGCCATTAGATGATGAAATGTTTGTATTGAAAGTTGTACATATTACCCAAGTCCAAAGGTAGAAAAAAGGTGGCCTACCACTGGTAAGACTGTCAACAACACCAGTTTTCTCCAAGTATCTCCGGAACTGTTCCCTTTTGGAGTCAGGAGCCTGTAGGAGAAACATCATGGCATTGCATTACTAACACAACAGTCAGGTCCAGTTAACTAAAAGCCCCCATAGAAAATAGGTGCCAAAAAGCATGGATAATGTTTTAATAAAAAAAGAACAATAAGAAATACAAGATAAATATATATTTTTTTAATTTGAAATGTTTGTATTTAACTTTTATTTTATTTCTAAGACATTTTGTAACTATTGTATATTGACTCTCAAAATGCTGCTGCGTACTATCTAAATGACTAAAACACTCCAGTGGTAATTTACATGAATGTCCTGCTTAATATGACTTCAAATGTAACTAATAACACATAAAAGGCAGCAGTATATTTGGTATATTGACATTATCTTTCATAAGTTTATCCACAAACATTTACAAACCATATAATGAGCTGTCACAGGTGTTCAGGCGACTCACTGATTGACACCATGTAACTGTCCAGGTAGCTAATGTTAGCTCAGATAGCTTGCATTCAACTTTAGTAGACGACAGTTTCTTCAAATAATTAATAAAACGCGACAGCAAACAAACTTACTCTATAATGTGCCATGGTGATCAAGGGCTATGAAGTTGACTCTCTTCTTATAAATGGTATGTTTTTGTATCACGCTCGCTAGCGCAAAACAAAACGTTGGGACGCAGGTAAATCGCCGGAAAAGTTCAGTTTCGTTTATCGCCTTCTTTCAAGTCTGGTGGGAAGGGTGATGCCTTCGGGTGTTCCTCGGAAAAACAATAACATGTATCGCACGTAAATTAGAGCTACAGTCATCACTTTACTTGAGTGTATCCATGTTATGCTACTACATTTAAAAGGGAAACAGGGTAATTTTACTCAAAATCTTTGTTTTCCTATAACAGTAAAATGCTACTTTATTCAACAATATTATATATACTATGTCACATATATACATATAATTATACTCACACATAAAGGCCATTACTTTTACTTTGTATACCTTAAATACGTTTGGCTGGTAATATTTTGAATGCATGACTTTTACTTGTAATTAAGTATTTTGAAAATAATGTATTGGTACTTTTACTCAAGTAAAGCATCCTAATACTTCTTCCACCACTGCAAATCTACCTGCATAAAAATCGCACACGAGGGAGCCAAGTAAATTCCGACATTTTACAGAGACCTTGAAAGTTGCTACTTCACTGAAGTGGTTACTGCCGCTATCTGCTGGTGATATTGCAGAACACTAGTACAACCCACTTTCTATTTAATGCATTTTTAACAACCTTAATCAAATGTTCACTTATTTTACGGCAAATATGATGCAGCAATTATGAGTTTTTGCTACGAACTCAAACCGATTCAAACGATTGTGTCAAAAGTGTGTATCTGCTTCTTATTCGGGTGATAGGTCACAAAACAGGTCTGAGTACTAGTCAGGTGACAGCGAAAAACCTCAGTAGAGTGACAGGTTGCTTAAACCAATCACAGCTCGTCTTTGAATTCAGTCAGCCAATCAGACCCAAGAGGTGGGTACAAAGGGCGAGAGGAAATCCTAAGGAAATGTGTGGGATCACGCTCGGTGTTTCCAAGTAGCCTGAGCGTTATTGACAAGCTGTTTTCATTGTGTAACGGTAGCTTGTGGTGCGCACCGTTCCCCTGACACAATAACGGGTGTAGTGACCGACAAGTAAGAGGGGGGGAAGAGGCGAAGCGATAGGTCACAATGTCGATTCAGTACGAGGTGGAACAGCTGGCTGACAGCTACGGGGTTGCGGACTCGTTCCCCAAAGATTTCGGTTATGGTGAAGAAGAGGAGGCCGACATCGAGGACAGCCCGTCGCCGTCCGACAGCAAGCCGAGGATCCTGCTCATGGGTCTAAGAAGAAGTGGAAAATCATCCATACAGAAGGTAAACAGAGATGTTAAACTAGTAGCCTTTTGAGGCGAGCTTCCCTTCAGCCTTACACAAGTAAATGGGACGTTAGCCAGGATGGCTAGTTTAGCATGTCGTAGGTGATGTTAGCTATGAACCTGCAGATAGCTAGCCACATGAGTGGAATAACTGCAATTAAACCCCCTCCTGCAGCTAATGCCTAGCTAGCCTTCAGTGTTAGCTAACATTTGTGCAGCTGTAGTGGTGAATTATTAACCAGGTAGACAAGAGCTCGCTGGGTGCATCCTTACTGATACATGGACATAAAAGCATGTGACTGTTTGGTTAACAACTTATCCAACATGCCAAATATATCTTAGTCCCACCCTCGCAGCTGTGAGGCAGGTCTGATGTGTAGCTCTCACATGACCCGACCACACCTTCCTTTCTGCAAGTCATAACACTTTGCTTTAAATCAGTGCACCTGCAGTGTGGCCGACATGCTCTCTAAAACATGGCTGGATAAAGGAGTTAGGGGCCCTCGACTGACCCTCCTCCTACCATCTCATGTGTAGCATGATCCCATTCAAGTCCAGAGCACCACCCCTCCCAGGGTTCAGGGTTTCCCCCTAGCATATGTTATAGATGGAAGATGTGCTACAACAGCAGATCCTGAGGTAGTTTGTCTTGTGATCAATTTACTTGATAGATGAAGACTCAAACAATAGTCACACTTAATATATATATATATAGCTTGCGCTGTGGTGAATAAAACCTCTATTTTCTCCCCTTCAGCTTGTATTGGGTGTTTCTTAAAGGTTTAATAATGCTTTTGCAAGCTGCGATGGTCCACCTTTGATACAAAAGAAATGCATGAAAACCAAACTTCTGTAATGGAATAGTAATGTGTTTTCATGTGTGGAAGTTCAACCTCATTTTAAAATCGAACCATTTGAGCACAATATAAAGTATAATAACGCTTTTAAAATAAGACTTTGACACAGGTTCCCTCTTCAAGACATGCGCACAAAATAAGCCTTGTAAACATCATACATTAGTGATATCTATTCAGACAGATTTGGGCTTAATTAAACCAAGTGACATGCAATGTACCTGGGGCTTTTGGGGCCCCTACTTCCCCTGTTGGCCCTTTGATACTGACTTTTTTTATTTTTCGTGATCCATCTAACTCCCGACTGCAAGGTTAGCTGTTTCACTTAAATTCGTAAAGTCTACCTCTTTCTGACGGGCCCTGAGGTTGAATAATAGATGAGTAGCAGTGGTGCCGTCTTTGATATTTTATTATTTATGTTCAAAATCAAAAGGGAAGTAGAATCAGACTGCTTGTAGCGTGACTCGCCAAACCTCCTAACACTGCCTGAAGAAACAAGAGCAGTGAAGTTTTCTGTACTGAAGCACTTGTACTGTTTTTGCTATAATCCACACCCGTCAGGTCTCAGATTAATGTCCCCCTGTAAGCCCCCGGTACCGGCTGGAAAACATGTGATTTGGCTTTTTGCTGGTTCATTGGCCTGTGACCTCAGTGGCCCACACACTGACTCCAACTTGAAGTAGAAAATAAACAGTCCAATGTCTTTCACCATGCGCCACGGCAGCTGGGTTTCTACCTGTAACTGTGTTCAACCTTTAACCACACTTCACTTCATAAAGCTGCAGTCTTACACTTGCTGTTTGAGCATGCCGCTGAAACAAGCTGTAAATGCAGAGGGATTTGTGGCATTAAAATGAGTCTGCAATATTTCTCTCTCAGCGTGTGACGTCCTAATTATGCTTTTGAGATAGGATAACGAATAATTCTGGAGTACTCCACAAAGCCTTATTTTAATACAGGCAATTTGCAAAATACAACATGGTCACATTTAAGAAGACATACACACTGCAATATTAGAAGCCAATCCTACACATACATCATACTGTATGACGATGAATCATATACTGTATGCCAACATGCATCATTTTATAATAAATGAGATGGAAGAATGTGAAACAAATGATTACTATATCCTCACAGACAATACAACTAAGCAAAAGAGCATACACCTGATATGTCTGAAAATTACACAAACAAATATTTCTTTTTTTAGGGAAGTGGATCTAATTTAATATTTTCTATCCTCAAAACCCATAAGGGCATCCACCTTTCAAAACTAAAAGTAGCAAGGAGGATTTCTCTCTTCAGATAACTCAACTTGAACACCAGACTGGTTTTGTTGCTGTAGTGTTATTGTGAAATACTGTAATCGTTGTATTATTGTCAAGCTTTACCAGGGCCAAGTGTTGTTGAATTCTGGTGAGATTCCACCGTCACAAGCTGTATGCAGGAACTGTATCTCGTTGTCTGAAAGTAGCTCTGTGGTTTCCTCATAACCTGCTCGTCTGCTTTTGGTATGTCAACTTGGCCATCGCTCTGTCTGGGACTTATATGGGTACTTTTGAGCATCAAAGCATTTCTTTTACTCAAACACTTTTTGGATTTCAGGTGGTGTTCCACAAAATGTCTCCCAATGAGACCTTGTTCCTGGAGAGCACCAACAAGATCTACAAAGACGACATCTCCAGCAGCTCCTTCGTCAACTTCCAGATTTGGGACTTCCCGGGTCAGGTGGACTTCCTCGACCCCACCTTCGACTACGAGATGATCTTCAGAGGAACGGGGGCTTTGATATTTGTCATCGATGCTCAGGTGACAAACAGAAACGAAACATTAATGGTCATAAACCTGAGGAACGGAAATTTGGTTTCACAGCAACACTTTTGGGGGGTTTATATTTTAGATATGAAAAAAAACGGTTTCATGTTTTTAAATACTCTGACTTGCTTGAACCCACATTTCCATTTCGTCGAGGTGAAAGTGCACGCATAAAGAGAACAAACTTGTATTTTTAGTTCACACTGTTCATGTAAGGCCCTTGAAAAGCCCCTGATGATAAACTGATAGACAGCCAGAGTAGCCATGGTAAAAACAATGACATGCCGTGGCTTTTATGTCAGTGCTCTAAGTGCTTTCAAGAAGTAATCTGAGCGATGACATTAGAAACTGCAGATGTGATTGCAGGGTTTATTCGTACACAACAAGGTGCATCAGATTCGATTAGTTTCAGCACTCTGTCACATGCTGATATCTGAGGAGACGTGTGCTGGTGTTGCTGTTTCGCTAGACAATGTAGCATTACATTTCCTCATTCCTGGTTCAAAGAATATTATGTCCGCAAGCAACAGATGATTTTTAGCTTATAAAAGCATGTTGTCACTCCAACATTTTCAAAAGATGGGTGTGTTGATTTCCTTGTTGATTTCTACTGTCAGGAATTCGCCGTGACCTGATTGTCTATGGCTCAGACATGGCTGAAATCCCAGTTTACCTCTAAATTATAATCTTTTGGTTAACTAAAATACTGCTTATAGTGTTAATCAAAGCAGAAGATCGATTAGAAGAGGGAGATTTCATTTTGAGGCGTTAAAATGTATACACAATCCTAATTATTTTTGTCTTGACTGCTGACGGTATGGCAGAAATAAAGGTGATTCATTATATGGAGATTGATTCAATTTAAGAAGGAGATAATTGTGATCTAAAATGGATTAAAAGGTACTTGTAGATTTGTTTTTGTAATGCGTTTTCTGTCTTTTTATGATTCACTTACTGAAAATGTGTGCATATTTTCACATGATTAACACTATAAGCAGTATTTTAGTTAACCAAAAGATTATAATTTAGAGGTAAACTGGGATTTCAGCCATGTCTGAGCCATAGACAATCAGGTCACGGCGAATTCCTGACAGTAGAAATCAACAAGGAAATCAACAAACCCATGTGTTTGTATGTGTTTAAATTACATGTTCAGCACTTTGGCTTGACCAAAATCGTTTTTAAATGTGCTCTACAAATAAGATTTGATTATTAAATTGGTGTATTAAGATATGACCTTTTCCTCCTCTTAGGATGACTACGTGGAGGCCCTGAGCAGGCTCCACCTCACAGTGTCCCGCGCCTACAGAGTCAATCCAGAGATAAACTTCGAGGTGTTTATCCATAAAGTAGACGGCCTCTCAGACGATCACAAGATCGAGACGCAGAGAGACATCCATCAGAGAGCCAACGACGACCTGGCCGACGCTAGTTTAGAGAAGCTGCATCTCAGGTAACTTTCATCTAACATGTCTTATCATTTAAGAAGACATATTATATCCTGGCTTTCCACACAGTCACATGTTGGTATAGAAAGTATTTCTGATTCAGAGTTATGCACACACACACTGATGTCTACACAGACCTGTTATCTGCACATATTGCGTCATAGTATCACTATCACTCCTCCATCACTGTAAGGGCTTGCAAATAGGCTCTTCTACTTTGCCTACTAACACCAGACTCTATAAATATAAAACTAAGATAACATTTCATAACACCTATATTAAATGGAGCATTATTCCGATTTGAAATAACACCATAGCATATTGGTATTGTTTTTACATCAGGGTGTGCTGCCTTTAAAAAACGTATGGATGCCCTATAGTGGTAGATCTTTTATAGACACTGAGTCAGACTTAAAGGGTTACTATACGATAAAACATTTCCATGAGCACGTTTGCGACTTTTGTTATAGTATATTTGCCCGATAATTAAGTCTGGTTTTAAGAAATGGACACTTTTTCAAATGTATAACAGGGTTCTTACGGTCATTAAAAACCTGGAAAAGTCATGGAAATTCAAAAAAGCTAATTCCAGGCCCTGGAAAAGTTATGGAAAACAATATTTTCCCCAAAGTTTTGGAAAAGTCATGGAAATGTAACTAAAGTTGCATCAAATATAATTTATATTTTATCTAATCGCCGAAATAGTAATCCTTTAATGATAATAAATACTATATCGTATAGTAATGAAACGTAAAATGGCATTTAACTGTTGAGGTATTTTGCTGGTGAGAGACTTGAGTTGCTTTAGCCTGTAGAAGCTAGTAAGCCTGCTGTTTGTTTTAGATAGGCACAACATGTTTCAGACCTTATTTTCCTGTTCCATGTTAAAATAAACCGTTTTCAGTGGTACTGCTGAGTCATTTTTTTGGTCATGGAAAATTAGGTAAAGGTCATTGAAAATCATTGGTGAAAAAGTGTATGAACTCTGGTATAAAGAAACCTTAATCCTTCAGTTCATCTTACAATTGAAGTTGCATGGTTAGTTTGGGCTGCAACTTCTATCGGTCATTGTTAAAGCAACGGCCTACCTTACCTACCTGATGCCTAATCACACTTTAGAACATCTTTTTTAACCACAGCAGCACACAAAATGCTTATAGTAAGACTGTGGGTCAGCACGGCAGATTTACCCAAATTCGATAAAACACATTGTTGTAGCATTGAAAATAACTCTTAACAGTTTGGTGCAGAAACTAATCTGAAAACAATTCCCTTAGAGAAACACCTTTACATAACTTCACACTGATGCTGGCCTAAAGTCAGCTCATCAGAAACATCGGTTAAAAGGACCTTCATTCTTACAGATTTCTTAAGACATGTTTTGTCTGCTTTGTTATCTTCATGTTAAACAGTTATTCATAATCTCGTTTCTTGCATGTTCCTAATAAAAGACAAGTTAATCCTCTAATGTAGCCCATCTTGTGATGTCTCATGGTGAGTTGTAGTTGTAAAACATATTAATTCAGTATTTCTCAAAAGACATTGGTGTTAAAACAACCAAACGCATGTAGGTGCTAATATTCAGCCAGTCACACCCTCACTGCATCACATCTGTTAATTTAGTAAATAAGGCTGCATTCACAAGCAGTTTAAGGTGTCCCAACTTTCTCTGCACATGTCGTACAACATCATTATCACCCCACGCGTTTGACTTAATTAAATGTAGTCCTAGAGATGGTTCTGTTAAACCCAGTGGTTCAGAGTAGGAGCTTAATGGTTGCTTGGTTCTGTGATGTCAGCCATGTTGGTGTCCTGCATTCTCTCAGTGTTACTGTGAGATTCCACTTTGTGCTCCTAATGAAGAAATATTGACCCGTGCTTCAGATACCAGAGAGGTTGTTATTCAACCAAGGTCTGTCATGTTTAAGACTTGGAAAGAAGGCTAAAGTTCACATGTAGTGTTTGCTATTTTGAAATTGATCGAATTTCTGTCTTAGCAAAACGTTTTGTAACTTGAAGAAACAGCCCTGAGTAGAGCTCAACATGATTAATGGGTTAGGAGCTAAATGTAATTCATGAAAGTATTGTCAATTGATGCAAGACACGGTGACATTTGTTCTAATAAATCAATATATTTTGTATTATTTTCGTGTTAGATGTGAGGTTTGCTTTTTGCCATTTTGGTCTGTAAATGAAATGCCTCTGACATGTTTTGGTTTACTATTCAATCCAAATTAGACTTCTGATGACCGTGGTTATGCATGACTTATCATGTCATCAATACATTATTCTAGATGAACAGCTATAAGGGAGAATAAGCGATTGGTTGATGGAAAGATAATGTGTTGGTTACAATTTTGATAATTGATGCAATCAGTGCTTTTTATGAAGTTAAAATGGCAGAAATCCACTCGGGTTCCAGCCTGTCAAATATAATGACTTTATTTTCTGTCCTTATTGTAAAAAGAATATTCTGTGCGTTTGAATCGTTACAGAGACAAAACCACCAAGGGGGTGTCATTCTGGGCTTTGGATAATAATAGTTTTTAGCATATTTTCTAAAAACTAAATCAACTGTATACTTTGTAACGCAAACAATTGTTGTTAGAGCCCTAATCAAAAATAAACAAATCAATATTTGCAGCCTTTGCCCTGACACGCTGTAGGAGCTTTACGACACTCACGCATGCTCTCTCTCTCTCTCGCTCTCGCTCTCTCTCTCTCTCTCTCTCTCTCTCTCTCTCTCTCTCTCTCTCGCTCTCTCTCTCTGCAGCAGCGTCTCTGGCTGTTTGTTGGCACACACTCCTCTGTGTTTTATGTCGGGTCAGATTGTTGTTTATTCCGGTTAGACAGCAGGAGCACTCCCAGATATATTGCAGAGCTTTTTCTGCACTGTGGTTCTCCGGCGCTTCCTTCACTGTAATGCATTAAAAGGTTGAGCTACCACAGAACATTCTATTGGCTTCCTCGTGATCTTTTTTATTTGCACATGTTGGTATAAAGTCTTAATCATGTGTCCAGTTTCATCATAGGAAGTTTCCTGCCAACTTTGTATTTGTATTCCTGTGAATCGACTTAAATACTGCAGTTAACAGCTCTTTTCTTCCATGTCATGTGACCTCGTGACTATCTGTACTTTGACTTGCTTTCATGTGTGTTTTGAGGAAGTAAGAAGTGTTTCCTACTAGTATCTGCTAATTCACTTCCTCGTTTGTGTTTTTTTTTCTCATTCAGCTTTTACTTGACGAGTATTTACGACCACTCCATCTTTGAGGCCTTCAGCAAAGTGGTGCAGAAGCTCATCCCTCAGCTCCCCACTCTGGAGAACCTGCTCAACATCTTCATTTCTGTAAGTAGAGAACAGATATGGACTGATATTCAAACGGCTTATCTTGTTTAAGAAAAGTATATATTTGTCAGGCAAAAAGCCCTTCGAAAAGGTAAAGAGTCTAAAGGTCCAGCTCTCTTTTGAGACCTCTGATGTCATGATTAAGCACTGAAAATACTTCAAAGAGCATTTCATTAAACTCCGTGTCTCTGCCTTTAACATGACTTGAAAGATTCTGATTCGTGGCTATGTATATTTTTCTCTGTTGGCCCATTTCCTTAACTGGATGATTAAAGAGGCGTTTAAATATTAAGTGAACACTTTATTATGAAGCTGTGTGGAATGAACGACACCAAAGTGAAGCCCAGGGTAACTCTACTTATCCTAACGAAGTGGGGAATACGGAGAGAATCCTCTAACCTATATTTACATTTCAATATTTGTATTTATAGTAAAAAAAAAAAAGATTGAGGCATTTTGTTAGTGGATCAAATATGCAGACACGTCAGTTTTTATCTGATCGAGCAAATTCAAAGCTAGCCCAATGAAGGTGCTTTATCATGCAAACTTAGATGCAAATCTAAACCATAATAAAGTACACCCATTAAAGGTGGGGTAGGTAATTCAATTCAGAAACACTTGTTATATTCCATGGAATGCTCTTAACATCCCGATAGCAATGAAATATGAAATGCTTTGACAATAAATACATTAAAAAAAAATGTCATCTGTGGAAGCCGTAGCGCTGTAAAAAGCACGACCAATCATCTGAGCCGGCTAAAATAAGCCTTCCATCTCGTGCACAAACTTATCTCGTGCCCTCATTGGTCATGTGCGCGTTCGTGTGTGTTGGAGGAGGGGCTCTGGAAGGAAGTCTGAAGGAAGGGGCAGATTTTTTTCGACTGCGAACTTTCAGATTCTAGCGCACTCGAGCTGGTTTCTCCATTCTTACCTACCCTACCTTTAACATAACAGGAGTGACTACCACCGTTTAGCAGCACCACTACACCTAGGGCTGTACAAATAATCAATTTGGCGTTTTTCAGAATATTCATCATAAGCTAAAATACTTTTGAAAAAGTGGTTTTCTAGAAACACAAAGAAACTTGCCACATAAGTTGTAAACATTTAGATATTTAATGGTTGATTAATGCATTACAATTGGAAAATAGATTTGAACATAATCACTTCATTGATGGAATGGTTATTAAAAAAAACACATGAGTTATTGCCCCACTCTCACTGTTGCCAACTTAGTATGATCTAGCAGCATTTATCTTCACATCGCCCAACCCTATTGTCTTAATATCAATGTCTCTACCATATAAAACATGTATTTATGTCCCTCTTCTCGTCCTCCTCCTCTCTGTCCTCCTTGTGTGTCCCTGACAGAACTCAGGGATAGAGAAGGCCTTCCTGTTCGATGTGGTCAGTAAGATCTACATCGCCACAGACAGCTCTCCGGTGGACATGCAGTCCTACGAGCTGTGCTGCGACATGATCGACGTGGTCATCGACGTCTCCTGCATCTACGGGTGAGAGTGTGATCAGTTCATCATTAGTAATGGAGGTCAGAGTTGTTAACAGATCTATCTGTCGTTCAGATGCAGCTTGCTTTTTTTGTACAGGCTTAATATGTTTATTAAAGTGTTCATACTTTTAAGAGCCGACTCGAGACTTGCAGTACCTTTTTTTTAATTTTGTTTTAAATACAATTGTACTTGTTTTTCTGTCCTGTGTTAATTGAGTTTTGGAGGTGTTGGGTTTTTTTAATCACAGAATGATGTGTTGCTCTGTCTTTGACCATGAGGGTTAGATATGTTTTTATTTTTGTTTGGGCAACATTTTTATGTATGCAAAGTGTTATATATTGATTGAAATGATTAACGACCTACGGAAGAGTTTCTCTAAAGTAGATATACATTTTAAATAAAGAACTTACATTTGAATGATTTGTAAGGTATCAAATATGCTCCTGTGTTGTCTTAAGAAGCTTTCATTGAAGCAAAACCTAATTCATGCATCGCTTGTCTTCATTCATCCACGAGCTGTAATTAACTCCACATTTCCTCTGACCATCACGGTGTTATTGTGCTTCATCTGGACAGTCTGAAGGAGGACGGCAGCGGCAGCGCCTACGACAAAGAGTCCATGGCCATCATCAAGCTGAACAACACCACGGTGCTCTACCTGAAGGAGGTCACCAAGTTCCTGGCCCTGGTGTGCATCCTGCGGGAGGAGAGCTTCGAGCGCAAAGGTAAACTGTCTGGAGCGAGGTGGACTTCATTAGGCCGATAGTGATGTTGCTCTGACACTTCCCTCTGGATTATTCTAGCATTACAGCAAGTGTTTATTTCCATTTAGTGTATGAAGTCAGAGGAAAGATATACACAATGTGTTTTTAATTAAGTATATGAAAGGGAGAAATGTAGTATTGCCCTTATGGACGATAACGAACAAGACAGTTTTGGGAATTCATATTAATTATATATAATAAACATATATTACAATTTATAGTAAACGCCACATATTTAGTTTGATGCAACATAACCTTCAATGTAATGGTTATGTTATTGTTACTAGTATAACTGGTGATGAGTCAACTGTGTATCGGTGCCTCTTTAACTAGTTTGTGTCTGACTGCCTGGGAGATGCCATTTTTAGTTTGCTGGGTTCCTATAAATTACATTATAACATAGTTTGCATAAATTGACTATATTATAAGGCGTTACAATGCAATAGAAGACCAGTCCCCAAACTTCAGCCCAACTTCTCAAAGGGGACCAGTCGGATCTTTATTTTATGTTTCTTTCTTCTATTTCACGTTGCTCTCTTTAATTGTTTATTTTCTGATGTAACAAAATAACTTGTTTCGGTGGAAGAAAACTTTAATATGGGGATGTTGGAGGTATGGACCTTTCCTCACACTAGTGTTGATTTGCAATGCATCACAAATGACATGTAGGAGCCTAACATGACCAAGCACATGACGCTATGAACACAACAAATATATTTAATGAGGGCTCCTTTTTGTTTTTAACAAATATGTTTTCTTTGATATTCAGGACCTAATGTTCCTGTAATTCAGACGCATTAAAGAAAGCAAAATGTCCCCCACCACAGCCTGTTTGTTGGTCATGTCTGTCCCATGTTTTTGAAACACAAGAACATTTAGATCTCATGTGTTTACGTCACATTTATTTCTCGCCCCTTTAGGATTAATAGACTACAACTTCCACTGTTTCCGGAAGGCCATCCATGAAGTGTTTGAGGTGGGGGTGACCACGCAGCGCGCGACAGGCTCCCAGGCGGTGGGCTCGCCCTGCAGCAAGGCCGTCGCTCTGAACGGGACGCCGCGCAACACTGTCTAGACACTGATCTCAAATAAAAAACAAAAAGATGCAAAAAAAGAGGAAAGGAAACAAGCAGAGAGCCTGTGGAGGAGAGAGTACTGAACTGGGGCTCACAGGCCACCAACCACAACCCCTTTCTCCTCCCAGCACCCAACGTACTGTGAGACAGCCAAGAGTGTGAGACAGCGCAGCGACCCGTCAAGCTGGAAGGGAAATGCAAGCACTCGTTTCTGGGGAATTAGAGGCACTGTTAGGAAGTGAAAGAGAGAGAAACTGGACAGGGAAAAAAGTCCAGGACCTTTCTTTGGATTTCACGGTCAAAGGCTGTGATAATTAGCTGCTTGTCCCTCTCCACGGACAATGTGAGGAGGGAAAACAAACCCTTGTTGTGACCTCTTGCTTATGGACAAAACTTTGATGTCAGTTTGTAGGAATCTGTGTGGAGATGAACCCACCCCGGCCACTTCTGTGCTGATAGAAAAAAAGATGGTGGATGTGAACTGCTGGTCCTAACACTCGTACATGTTCAGAGATGGCCTTATGGAGATGAAGCTTGTCTGCAGTGCAAGCTTTCTCTCACCACCACTCACCTCACCCTACCTGAATGCTGCCGAAACTCGCTTTTTGGTTTCAATTGTGAAGGGAAAACAAGGTTTTTTGAGCAGACTGAAAAGGGATTGCGTTGTCCATTTAACTGGGTCTCGTGTGTGTATGCAGGTGTGTGTGTGTGTGTGTGGATGAAGGTACATGTGGAAGTGTGTATGTGTCTGTATGCAGGTACATGTGGAAGTGTGTGTGTGTATGCAGGTACATGTGTGTGTGTATGCAGGTACATGTGGGTGTGTGTGTGTGTGTATGCAGGTACATATGTCAATGTTTTGATTGGGACCTTTTTACAGAAAGAGTTTATGACCTTCTCATAACAGCTGCTTAGCATATTAAACTCTCTTCTTCCGTGAAAGTAACTTTTCTGTGTGCGCTCCACTGAAAAATCGATTGACTTTATGATAGATTGTAGAAAATATTTTGGTTGGAAATTTGAAAATATTCTGAAAAAGCACTGCCAAAATATTGAAATTACTCGGTTTTAACCTTGTTGCCATTTATTTAGAAAAAATATGTTATAAATACGGTAAGACATTTTCGGAGGATAATATGAACTGGTTGAAACTTGCATGTTTTTCCTCCTACAGTTTCAGTCCTGCCCAAAATTATTAATTCTGTTTTGTATTTAGTTGGCTCTGTTCAGCAGGATTCACAAAAACAAAATGTACCCATTCCAAGCATGCAGAAAACCATGTGAGAAACTGCAACTAACCAAGACGAGTAAACCGATAAACAAGAAAAAGACCACATGTCATTTCTATAGCCACAACGTTTAGGTGCCTGTTTGTTTATATCAGGACTGATGTATGGAAACCCTGACTGTCATGTTATCTTGATATGTTTGCGCAGTAAAACATGTGCAAAATATTCATGTTGCAGATTTAACTCGGCAGACATTATTCCGGTAACTCTGTGAAACTGCTTCTTGAAACAGACCCTGAGACCCTCTTAACCTAGTCATTATTAGTCACCTGAAATGAACACTTGCACATCAGAACTGTGATGGATGAGTGATTTTATGTATTGTGATGATGCTATACTATGTGAAATAAATGAACATTTTAATTTTGAGTTTTTGTTTGTCATAATTGCTCCAGTAGTTTATACAAACTAATTATCTGACCACTATCTTAAAAAGTGGGATATTAGGACTTGTTGCAAGGAGATAACTTGGAGGAGATTTCATTAAGTGCTCTTGAAATGGTCACACCACACTACAGGTACAACGTTGTTTTTGTATTCACTGGTCAATATTTAGAATTTGGGCTGTCTTGCTTCCTAAACATGTCTTATTTCAGACGGGGTAAAAAATAATCCAAAATACTACTCTTTACATTATTCATAAATTCTCCAAGTTGGCCTCAGTTGCATAGTTCAACACTCTGAGACAGCTTGTAATTCATATAAAACATGTGTCTTGTTGTAAATACTCAACTGAATGGTTAAAATCTTTTACCCTATTCACCTGGATTGTCCCCCTGACATATAATCTACAAGCAAACACAAGATGGCGCTGTAGGACTATTCCAGTGTTCCCACGGTGAATCATTATTCATCTTTCCCCATTCACCAAGTACAATAACTGTTCTCATACTTGTTAAATTGACAGTTAGCTGTTTTTAAACCTGTACTCTGAATTTTACAGCCTGTTAACGTACGACTATAAACGCCAGCAGCTTCTATAACCACAGTGAGCGGGAGAGAGACCCCATTTCATTTATTGGCCCTGCAGTATGACCATAACAATAGAGCAAATTGGATTATTCAGTATTGATGTAACATACATTTCGGCTGGCATAGGATTAGTAACGAAGTGACGTTTATATTTTCTGGATATCATTATGTTAACAGTCAAAATGTGCCTTTTAACCTTTGCATAAATGCTCCAAATGGTATTTGTCAGTGCTTCTCTGATGTGAAGTGCAATGTTTATAGTCAGTTTAGTTGTGTTTGCTGTTGTCTTTATGGCATGAGTGAGAAGAGGAAGGGAGAAAAGAAACCCCCTCACTGGTTTATAAAAACAACTCTGAATAGCTTCGCCATGCAAGTTATTCACCAGTTAAGTTAAATAAGCCTCAAAGCTACTGTCACGACCCATTATGTTGGGAGTAGGCGAGACAGCTAAACACCACTTCCACACAATTTAGATGCAATAAAACACTGACAGCTTTTTTATCCACTTCATTAAGCCAGTAATTTCTTATAAAAATCTCCCGCATTAATCCTGGCCAGGGTTTCCCTGCGGTTCCTTAAGCTCTCCTCCAACCTTAGCCGCCTTGCTTTGATGCTTACTCAAATAGGCGCTAATTTGAGATAAATTATGCATCCGCATGTAGACTACCCATGCCAAGGAATATAAAGTGTGACACTCTGAAAGATGGTGAATTAAAGCAAAGTGTGATATCTCGACGGCCTAATGGCAGATAGGTTAGACCTGTCAGACTGATGCTTTGTTGATCTGCCAGTCACTTCCTGTTGGGAGAGGTCATGTTTGTGATGTTTTGAAGGTCATTTAGGATCAGTGCACTGGGCTTTTGAGGAACTTACTCCAGAACTATTCAACTTGTATCTTTATTATCCTTTTAATGATGAGATCAAATGTATGTTTTTGTTTCCCACTTAACAGAATAGAATATATCTTTATTGTCATCATCCGAAGTACAACGACATTTCTTTGGCAACTCTTACTGCAGTAAAAAATTAGACACAAATAAATGAATAAATAAGAGTGGTAAAAGCAGAGGTAGTAGTGATGACAGTGCAACCAGATACAATTCAATGTCGACACTTACAGTCTAAAAACGTTAAATAAAGAAATAAAGGAATTCAAGTGTTACAACAGCAGAAGTAAAAGAACAGATGCATAAATTAGTATATTTTTTACATATAAATACATCTACAACATACAAGTGAAGGGATACAAAGAGGTATAAAATATAATACTGTCTTAAGACAGAGAAAAAGTCTAAATGTGCAAAAAAATATCAACAATAACACTTGAAGCAATGAAATTGATTGTTTAAGAGTTTTTAGATATAAGTGCAACCAGCTTAAAAAACTGTTATTGCAAACAAAAACATCTTCAAAGTTTGAGTTTATACGACAAAATGGTTGCTAAAGATAATACAGATGGCAATATATAATCCAATGCCATTTTAAATATACAATTTCAACATTATCTTGAACATCTTTTAGCATTGTCCCCTGTTCATTCATAATCTAAGCGTTTATTTAATGGCTTTAATACAATAGCACCGGCAGGCATGGCTGAATTTAAAGAGATTTATAAAACCAACTCTTCAGACAACGAGACAGAATGTCCAACACACGTAAGTCCAGTTTCTTATCAAGAAATTGTTACAAAAAAACCCACAACTCAACATGTATAGACTTTAGGAGCACCTGCATCATTTATTAACTACTCAGTGACTTCTTGCAATCTCTAGATGGGGCTGTTGTCTGCGGTTTCAGCGTTTGTCCCTCACTCCTCTGGCAGGGTTTCTGCTCCACAGTGCAGGCAAAATGAAGATCAACATCACACACAGATATAGAGCTAGATGAAGAGGAAGACTGAGGAGAAGTTGAGGAAGCAGTAGAGAGAGTGCTGCATGATGTACAACTGTAATTTGGCAGCGTAGCAGCTGGTGAAATTGCCTTGCTTTATCAAAGGCAACGCTGCTTCGCCCCCTGTCCCCTACTAAGGACGCTTAACCAATAATGAAATAAATCCAGCATAACATACTTTTGCCAGTGATGTGACGCTCACTTCCGCACGCCGGTCCACCCTTCATCTTAGATGTCTTAGTATAATTACAACAATGATATTGCCATTACGTTCTTAATAAAACTCGGTGCATTATCTCCCATCTTTACATTTTATTAGGCATGCTTCTGAGAGACGAGGGAAAAATGATGAGAGTAAGTGAGACGTCTAAGATAGGTGACGGATGTAATACAGGCTTCATTTGTTATACTGTAAGGCAATGCAGCCTCAGAGTGTAATTATGCAGCAGGGACAGGGAGAGGTGGTGCTGAGATGGACAGTTTAGAGAGCTCTCAACAGCAGTTTTCTGACAAGTTAATGTCATCTCATTCATTCGTTACTGCTGGAAAAAAGGGAACAATTATACAGTGTCTAGTTGAAATGAAAGGGACATAGTGCAGTGATGACATACTTTGATTTAAAATCTGTTTCTGTGATATTTTCAATGTAACTTGTGATTTTTTAGTCCCAAACCACCCAGTAATATGCCCATGGGTAAAGATATGAGTTGTTCCACTTAGATATTCGTAAACGTTACAGTGGCAGCCAGAGATTCAGATTCAGCTGCTGAATTTGGAAGGATTTGGATATTGTTGAAAGCAGAAAGACAAATAATGAGATACTGTGGGCCAAACCTACTTGTGTCATTTTGATGTTCTTCTACTTCCATCTGTAGAACAGGAATTTCTCTGACATATTTCTTTCACTACACTTCTTCGGTTAATAATGTTTTTTTTTAAAATAGGTTTTTATTTTAGATGAATTGAAATCTGTAAGAGCTAATGGGATACGTTTATAGACAGAAGAGTAAGCATCAACTATCAATAATCCATTAACTATAAATACCAATCTTTCCCTTGTTCAGGCCAAAGTATTAATTGGGAAATTAATTTTCAGGATAATCTATAATGAAAATGACTAGAGTTGCAACTATGAAGTCTATGTGGTTGATTCATTTATGAAAAACGTTTGAATAACGTCATAGATTAAAAGTAGTACACTTCAAGTCATATTGAGGTATCAGAAACAAATATATTGAGCCTGCAACACCCAATTTCTCAAATAATCTTTAAAAATGTTCCTATTTAGCCTTTACCCTCACGGAAACCCTAGAGTGAGACTGTTGTAATTGAGCTGCAACCAAAACACACCTGCCTTTAAATATTCTCCCTTTTAATTTCACACCTTTCGAGCTCTACCAAACTCCTCTCCTACCCTAAATCCGCATCAGAGGGAGGAGCTGGATATCGACAGGACACGGGAAAGGATAACGAAAGTGGGAGTTAGAGGAAGGGACAGGCGTCTCCTGTATTTTCTCGCTCAGGCAGCAGAGCGTGGAGCGGAGAGGCCAGCGGGCCAGCAGCCAGCTAATGGGGACCAGCAGTGAGCAGGGGCCGGGGACATGGCTGACAAAAGGAGCAGCGACAGATGCCATTATCTCAGCCTCATGCAGATACAATGGAGCTGGATGACACAGGGCCTGACACTGACAGACGTGCAGGAGTGTGTGTGGGTGTGTGTTTGTGTGGAGGGCCTAAGAGAGGGAACAAGTGTGGACACTGTGAGGTTAATGGAACACGATAGAGGAGAAGTGGATTATAGTGGAGACTCACATTTTTTGGTAACACTTGTCTGAGCTTTTCTGCACCCCATAGATGCATGCAAGCGTGTATATGCAATTGGAGTGTGTGTTGAGTACAGCCTACATGACCCTGTCTTGTTACAGAGAAACAGCCAGATCAGTCACCCGTCACTTGCTTAAAATTCAGGGGCGTAGTGAAACACACATCCCATTTGGTCCCAAATTTCTCTGGGTGCTACTCTTGACCTTAAAATATGCAGCAGCATTCACTTTCCCCCAAAGGATGTTCTGGTCATTTGGAGAGCCAAAAAACGTGTCAGGGTGGGGTTTCAGAGGGGGGGGAATAAGGGGAATTTGGCGATGCGCTTAGCAGGATTGGTAAAAGCGGAGAAGGGCTGTTAAGCAGCAGTTTTTTGGAGGGATAAGAAATGTGAGCTTTAGCCAGTGTAGTGCGGTGACATGGGACAGTGTTATTGACTGTGGCGGCGCATGCTGACAGTGGATTGTCAGCCCCTGCAGTCATTTGCCAGACTGAGCGAATGCAGGGATCAGAGTTTTTGGAGCTTAGAGAACGAGAGAGAATAGATGACGAAAGTGAGAAAGAGAGAAATGGCAAGAGGAAAATAAAAGGCGAGAGCAAATACTGGCAGACATACAAATGCTTGAGTATACATATAACACACACACAGACACACACACCGAGCTATGGACGCCCTGCTGAGTGTC